TTTGCCTTTCAAATCATTACCAGTACCAAGACGACTGTTATTTGAGTCTTCAGAACTGCTTACTATTGGTGATGTCTCAGTTCGATGGATTTTCACCTTCATCAAGTTGTAGATTCCAGCTCTAACTTATTATCCTTATGTCTCCTCGGATCCTTTTTCATTTATCTCTTGGTATCGTAGGAGATTGATCAAATCCCAAAATGTATAAAAGAAAAATGATGTGGAATATATCCCTAAATGAATATAACAAGTTAATAATTAGAAAATCATATTCAAGATTACCGTAGCTAGGCTTACTTTTTTGCTTATGGGAAAACTGTCCATGCCACCAAGTCATCGATTTTATTTTTTTATTTTTTTATTTTTTTTGTTTTAAGAGATCTAAACTGCTTGTTTGTTCTCAAATGTACATAATAGTGAAATCAAATCACATTTCAATTAATATTGGTTTATGTAGGAAATGAATTAAAAGCTGAAATTATTAAAGAACATCACTACCATAACCTTAAACCAAAGCTAGCATCCATTATTCAAGAAACATTAACCTGTTTAAATGAGGCTATATATAAAGCAGGGTTGATCTCCAATGAGAGAGAGAGAGAGAATTATATTTCTTTTATTATTGGAACCCAGAGCCCGAAATGCTGGAAAATTAAGCAAAGGATAAGCAAATGGTGGGAGGCAATTCCGTGTAGCATAAAAAAATAGATGAAAGAAAAAATTTAAGGCACAATACCTTTCAACAAAAACCGAGCTATAGACTTAAAGCGGGGGAACCTCCACTAACAAGTTTGATGTTAACTTTATTATATTTCTTAAAAGAGTTATACTACATTTATTTAAATTGTGTCAAATTAACACTTGGTAGTATTTCATTAATAATTGGGCCAAAAACATTTTTCTACCATCCAATCACAAATTGTCAATTCATTCTAGATAATCTTGATACAATACAATACGTCGGTAAAATGGCATAACTCTTCTTAAAATACTTGAAAAACATAGAGAGAGTTTCAAATCATCCACATATGATGGTAAAGATTACTTTTTCTTTTCTTTCGGTTGTTGACCTATAGTTGACTTTGACCTTAACGTTTTTATCATAACAAACAATTTTAATCTTGTTTATTAACAATTGAATTTAAGTGATCATAGTTTTTAAAGTATTCAATGATAAATCGATCAATAGTCGTCAAAATATCAAAATCAAGACTATCATTGAAAATTGGACTCACAAAAGAAAATCAAGATTGAAGTCATTCAAGACAGTAGCTTAAAAGTCAAACTTCAAAGACTAGACTTTTCAGACCAAATGTAAAGGTGCTAAAATTTTGATATTTAGCAATGGTTTATAAAAACTCAAAAAACTATTTTATGTACTAAAATCGATTTTGATTACTACTTGCATAAAATATTTCGATCAAAGCTATTTTTATTATCATTTGCATAAATGTTTCAATCAAAGCTATTTTGGTTTAAATCTATTTCGATTACCACAACAACCAGTTTGAAAATTGGTCCATCGGTTTGAAAATCGATCAATCGGACTAGTCAACCGAGTTGGTCGATCGAAGGTGATGACTGATCGATCGAAATGTAATAGTTCAAAATTTGACTATGTAACTTCTGAGCCTTTTATCCAACGGATATATTTTAGTTCATCTAAAAAAATTTATAGGTCGACTAATCTATGATCTGAACTTACAGAAAGTTTTGCAAGTTGTCCTCTATAGAAAGGTTCTCTTTTACAATCGATGTAAGGTCCAAAAAGTGCAATAATAAGCGAAATATTTTGAGCAAATCTTTGAATATATGACGAGTGTACTCACGAGTTTATGCCATTTTTAACTTGATTGTGAACTAAATTTTGTGAGTACTGAACCTTTTTAATGTGTTTATTATTGTTGTTTTATAGGATTGTTTAAGTGGTGAAAGACCAAAAAAAATTCATCAAATAAAGTTATTGGCACGGATCAAAAAAAGAAGAAGCGAAGATTGGCTAAAAAGATGGGTACAATCCAAAGTTTAAGGACTAAAGTATAAATACGCAAAACGTGTGTCGAACCTCACGATGAAGATTTGAGAAGGTCAATTGGATGCAATTAAAAATCAAAAGAAATTATATATGACCAAATTATTTTCACAAATCAATTTTCAATCGCACCAGGACGTTTCTGATTTTCAGCTTAAGATTGAAAACCTATTTGATCTAGTAAACATTCAAATTGGAAAAGGCTATTTCTAACAAAGTTGTATCCCTTTTGAGTTAGCTTTACAACCCAACTTGAATCGCTGCAATTGAATATTGAGAAAGAAAGTTATGATAAAAATACTAAAGGAAGCGTAGTGCTGATTTCTATCCAAAAGGTGGCGCTGCGATGCCGCCTGGATACATCTAGGGCACTTTTTAGCACATTTTGAAGTCTATAAAATCTTACTTTCTACACATACGAGGAGACAACTATAAATACAATTTTTCATACTTTTGAAGGGGATTCTACACACTAAGAGGCAAGAAACGCACTTTGAGATTAAAGAGACGCAATTCAAGGGAAGAAAACAACAAGCAATTCAACATTTGGAGCAATAATTGGAAGAGGAAGAAGATCTTGGTGCAAGATTGATATTTTTTCTTCTACATCTTTAATACAAATCTGGTGAGGTACTCAATGACTGTCTATTCTTTTTCCTCTTTCATTATGAGTAGCTAAATCTCGTGTTAGGACAAATAATGCAACCCAATTGGGATCATTTATGTCTTTTAATTAAGATTCTTGTTCTTTACTTTTTCACGTGTTTATTTTACTAGGAGTTAATGCATTAAATTACTTTATCAGTAATTTCATGATTTTCTGAATCCATCACGAATAGAGATGTAAGTTTAGGATTTAGACCATATAGTAAAATCTGGTAAATCGGTATAATGTGTAGAGATACTTATACTAATTATTGCGGTCATAAATGAATTCTTAGAACAAAGAACTCGTTTAACTAGATTCGTATAGAGATATGAAATTAAATTAGTTAAATACGTTCAATGAAAACTCAAGAATGGTAAATTGAATATAATTGGAGAATTCAACTGAACATTACATTAGATATGAATTTTGATTTAAGATGTAAGTGTTATCAATATGTGAAATTATTCTGTCATAATATTTGTTCATTATTTGATTTCTAAACCAATCTTGTGTGCATCCAATTGTTTTCACGTATTTAGATTAAAGATCAAACCATACAAATTTTTATCTCCTTTCATCAAATAGTAGTTAGAGAAAAATTGAATTAAGTGTAGTCCTCATGGGAACAACAATCCGAACTCATTGGTCCATTATATAACTTGTTACGATCCGTACACTTACGAATATACAATTGACAACATATACATTACATTTATTTCTTCTAAATCATCATATTGAAATATGTAGATAATTTAATCAAAATCTTAAAGCATAATATTTATCAAAGTTTCTCATCTAACATTTGAGCATTAATTCATTGAAATGTTAATATCTATTGGTACTTAATATATTGCTATCATTTATTAAGAGAGATATTTCATTGTAAAACATTTTCTTAAAATCTTTGGATCATGTTGAGTTCCCTTGAAAACTCAATATTATCTAACGATCGGTGCTCCTTGTTTGTAAATCATCAAAAACATTTTAAAGATTTTGATTTCACCATAAATCAATCAATATAGTAAAGCGGTATTGTTCATGATGAAGAGCTTGATAACAGACAACGTAGATTATTAGTTTGGATAAAAATCATCTCTACTCTTTTACTCATATTTTTACTTCCTATTATTACTTGATCGATCAACGTGTTTGTAGAGTAAAATTAAATTTATTTTCAAAAAAGTTTCTAAACTTATTCACCCCTCTCTTGGTTAGTTATTCTTGAGCTATCATTGGCTCTATATCATAAAGAATTTACAATATGTCATATTTTTCAACACTCGAATTCACTTCCAAAGAGATTTCTTTGCTAATTTGTTGAACTGAAGTTTCTTCAACCATTTGTTTCTTGTTCCACCAAAAAATAAAAATAAACAATAAACAATAAGTATGAGGTACCAGAAAATATCTAAAGAAGAAAATTGGAAACTAATTTCATGGTTTTGCCTTTCAAATCATTACCAGTACCAAGACGACTGTTATTTGAGTCTTCAGAACTGCTTACTATTGGTGATGTCTCAGTTCGATGGATTTTCACCTTCATCAAGTTGTAGATTCCAGCTCTAACTTATTATCCTTATGTCTCCTCGGATCCTTTTTCATTTATCTCTTGGTATCGTAGGAGATTGATCAAATCCCAAAATGTATAAAAGAAAAATGATGTGGAATATATCCCTAAATGAATATAACAAGTTAATAATTAGAAAATCATATTCAAGATTACCGTAGCTAGGCTTACTTTTTTGCTTATGGGAAAACTGTCCATGCCACCAAGTCATCGATTTTATTTTTTTATTTTTTTATTTTTTTTGTTTTAAGAGATCTAAACTGCTTGTTTGTTCTCAAATGTACATAATAGTGAAATCAAATCACATTTCAATTAATATTGGTTTATGTAGGAAATGAATTAAAAGCTGAAATTATTAAAGAACATCACTACCATAACCTTAAACCAAAGCTAGCATCCATTATTCAAGAAACATTAACCTGTTTAAATGAGGCTATATATAAAGCAGGGTTGATCTCCAATCCACTTTGGATAGGAGTTATAATGCCCATTGTGGACGTAACAACATCTGCTTTAAATTTGTCTTATATTTTGGTTGAAAATCTACATTTTATTTCTCAATGGAAAAATGAGATATTTTTAGCATTATGGATTTTCAGATACTATACAATCAATCAAAGGGATGGATCAAATCCTATCAAAAAAATGAGGTTTCTTTTAGTAAATGAATTAAGAAAAATAGGACTCCAAATGTAAGTACAATAAAAGTTCCATAATCCATGAAAATTATCGTATCCATTTTGTATCATTTTGGTGGTATGGTCGAGTGGTAAGGCGGAGGACTACAAATCCTTTTGTCCTCAGTTCAAATCTGAGTGTCGCCTGATCAACATAAAGCTCTATATCTTTTCTTCCGATATTGTGACATCCGTAATGGGCATTATTCACGTTTACAATGGGCATTATGACTCCTGTCTACTGTGGACGGAATATCGAATATGATATATTAAGAGCATAATTATAAACTACTGACAACTTATATGTGGCTGTTGTCAATTTTATATTCACAAATGTACAGATTGTAACAAGTAATATAATAGACCAATGAGTTTGGATTGTCGTCCTCACGAGGACTATACTTTAGCATTTAATCCAATTTTTTTTCTAACCACTATTTGATGAAAGCAGATAAAAATTTGTATGATTTAAATTTAAATGCCTAAAATTATGTGGATGCAAGCAAGATTGGTTTAGAAATTAAATAATATACAAATATTAAGGTAGAATAGTTTCACCTATTGATCACATTTACATCTTAAATCAAGATTCATATATAATGTAGTGTTCGGTCGAATTTCCCCATTGTGTTCAATTAATCCCTCTCAGGTTCTCATTAAGCCTATTTAACTAATTTAATTTCATATCTCTATGCAAATCAAGCTTAGTTAAATGAATTATTTGTTCTAGAAATTCAGTTATGACTGCAATAATTAGTATAAGTATCTCTATACATTATATTAATTTACCAGATTTTATTATATGGTCTAAATCCTAAACTCACCTCTCGATTTGTAAAAGATTCAAAAAATCATCAAATTGGTGATCAAGTAATTTAATGCATTAAACTCATAGTAAAATCAATACATGAAAAAAAATAAAGAACAAGAATCTTAATTAAAAGGGATAAAGGATCCTAATTGGGCTACATTATTTGCCCTAACAAGCAATTTAGTTACTTATAATGAAAGAGGAAAACAATAGATAGTCATTGAGTACAACACCGAATTTGTACTACAGATGTAGAAGAAAAAATATCAATTTTGCATCAAGATCTTCTTCCTCTTCCAATCAATGTTCCAAAAGTTAAATTGCTTGCTGTTTTCCTCCATTGAATTGCTTCTTTTAATTTCAATATGTGTTTTTTGCCTCTCAATGTGAGGGATATCCCCTTTTGAAGTCCTTTTTCCTTGTATTCATACTCCCCCTCATGTGTCTCAAATTTAGGGCTTTTCATGAGTCAAAACAGTGCAACCCTAAATCAGATGGTGCAGTGCCTAAGCGTCGCAACAAAACACAGTGTAGCACCTAGGCGCATTGAGTCCATAGCCTAAGCGCCAAGGGCAGCGCCTAAGCACTACCTTTCTGTCCAAAATAGTTTCTTTTTCACGAATCATAGCACTTAGGTCCTATGAGTGCAATGCCTAGGGGTAGCCTTTCTGCTCCAAATTCTTTGATTTTGACTTCTTTGTTCACTATAGTACCTCTTTTTACGCTGTCTCTCCTATTATCAAAAACAACACTAACAAATACATCAAAAACATTCTATACTCATGAGATCTAGCAAATAATCAATTTAAAATTGTGTAAAACTTGTGAGTAAAACACAATCTTAATACCCCATAACTTAACCGTTTGCTAGTCCTAGAGCAAACAAACACATCAAAAAAGAAAATCCCTAAAGGATGATGCACACACAAACAATTAGTTACATAGCTTGTCTTTTTGGCTCTATATCAAGAATATTATATCACATTTATTAACAATGTCAAAATCACAACACAAGAACCAAACTTCCACTTATTCAATGCAAAGTGGGTGTATGTGTGTGAAGGATCAAGTATAACGTTGTACATTCACAACTTAGTTCATCCCCAACCTTCAATGGTCAATTATTTCCATTCTTTGCTCGTGAGATTCATACATCCCGAAACTTGTTTTCTTTTATTCTCTCACCATGGTGTAATTCTAAAGTTTAATTTCACTTACAATTTTCTCACACCACTCTAATTTAGTTTAGTCCAACCGGGAATATCAATAATTTATTCATGTAATGATTCTCTCAATTTATAAGCGTTTCAACAATATAGTTTATACTAAGTGATTCAAACCCACTAGTTATCTAGTCCCCCAATATTAGTTCTTTTGCGAACTTGTATAATTTTCTCTTCTCTTTTTTTACACAATTTTGACCTCACAGTTTTTTCCTTTTCTTGAACCCCGTAGTAAGTGTTAACTCGGTAACTCCCCCATTTTTGCATACCAAAGGGTACTAGATTTCAAGATACCTCTACAGACTTAATAACTCGAGTGAAAAAAGTGCAGGCATGAGGCATAGTAGAATAAGTGCAATGCTTTTTTCTATCAAATGGAAGCGAAATTTATAGGGGTTAAATCCCTAGCATCCGATCATCGCCAAGCTTATACTAGAAAGTCAAAGACATTCCACACAATCTTTTTCACATACACGAAATCATCGATTTTAAATTATTTCTTTCACCAGTTAGAACTCCCCAAATTATTATGTATATGGTCAAAGGCTATTGTGAATCATAGGTTAAGAGGTCAAGCATCTAAGTTATTAATTTGGCCTATGCTTATGAACCCTCACGTTCCTGTATAGCTCTAACTTAATAATCGTGTATAAATATTGTACTGCTTCAACAAGCATGTAAAGTTATTACTATTATTATTTTATTTTTTTAACACAATGCACCCGTGATCAGATAATATCATGCAAGCACACAAATACTACTAATAAACTCAAGACAGCAGCAATCAACCTTGATGCTTCAACTCCCAAATTTAAAACGTGCATTGTCCCCAATGTAAAAAATAAAAAATAAATAAATAAATAAATAAATATATATATATATATATATATATATATATGGAGGGGTAGGACTTCCCTTAAATCATCAGTGGTGTCATCTCCATCGCCTTGGTGAGATGGATTCTTATGACAATAAATTAAACAATCGTAAAACTAAATATTAAATAGTAATAATAAAGAAATTGATGGAGCTTGGATCGCCTCCCAAAAAGCGCTTCTTTAAATTCATTAGCTTAACTTGTTGCCATGATTGATTATGGTGTCGTGAATCAAATTATTTCATCCTTGCACCTTATGCAATTCTCATTTATACACCCTTTTTTGTTTTCAATATTTTGATATTTTCATTTTTATCCCTATCAAGAAGTCCACTTAAATTTGATTTTCTTTTTTTACAACCTCGTTGATCAGTTGGCTCTTCTTCATCAACTCTATAACAACTTTTGATGTTGGGAGGTTGCTCTTATTAAGTGTAAATACTGAATAACTTTTGCTTGTCCTACATCCTCAATATTAGCTCACCCTTCTCCATGTTAATCAGGGTTCGTCCCGTTACTAAGAATAACCAACCCAATATAACTAGAATGTCTCGATCTTTTAGTATGGCCAATGCAATGAAGTCCACAAGAAACATGAAATTTCCTGCTTTTATGAGTACATCCTCAACTTTGCCACATGGCCTTGCAATTGTTTTATCAGTTAGTTGCAGCGTTATGAATGTTGATTTGACTTTACCTAGTCCTAATTTCCCGTAAACAGAATATGGCATTAGATTATACTGATACCTGTGTCACACAATGCATTAATAGAACAAGAATTTTCAATTGAAATTGCTAAAGTAAAACTCAATGGATATTTCAACTTGGGAGGCAGATTGTTTTGTACTCTTGCACATTGTAGCGCCTAGACGCTATGAATTTAGTGCCTAAGCACTATAGGTAGCTTCCAAGCACTGAGGGCAACACCTGGGCACTACCTTTCTGTCCAAAATTGCCTCTTTTTCACGAATCATAGCACCTAGGCTAGGCGCTGCCTTTTTGCTCCAAATTCTTTGATTTTGGTTTCTTTGTTCACTTTAATACCTCTTTTTATGCCATTTCTCATAATCTTCAAAACAACACTAACAAGCACATCAAAAATATTCTATACTCATATGATCTAGCAAATAATCTAATTAAAATTATGTAAAACTCGTGAGTAAAATACACTTGTCAGTGACCCTAGAAAATGTGAGATTATCCCCAGTGTATTCCAGGGTCGACCTTGAGGCCAAGCCAACTAGGCAAGGCCTAGTGCCTCAAAAATGTGGCTTAGGACCAGAGCCTCAAAATTCATATGAATCATATCAGCAGTCCAACAGGACCAGCATCAAATAGAGAAAGGTTAAAGATTGAAATTGAAGGGACACTGCATGAAGGAAATTGAAGGGACCAATTCGACCAAAGGGTAAGTCTTCTTCTTCGATTCAAAATTCCCAAATCTCCTCTCCAAAATTCATACGAGCTCCAATTCCAAATATAAAGGGTTAAGGGTTGCACTTACACCGCTTGTTTATAGTTAATTTCTCCAATTCAGAAATCAGAATTCTTCAATATCCTCCTCTCCTCAGTCTCCTGGCTCTCTAACTTCAATCTCGGCAAACTCATCTATTCAGATATTAAATATAATTGGTTTATCATATAATAATTAATAGCAAAGCTGTTTCTGTCCTTGGATTTTTGGATTTTAGAATGATGATTATCGAAAGATGAGGAAGAAATTATACTGAATTTGGAGGGTGTGATGCTTAAACCACAAAGTTTATAAGAATTTGCTCAAGTTATAGAAATGAAATTGCAGAATATAGACACTTGTTTTAGTGATGGAATTGCAGAATTGAGAGAAATTTCCCACATCAACCAAAGTTTACATCATACAATCCTATCATCACTTTCTATTAAAATCTTTGTTAAACTATCTTGTGTAAGCCAAAATCAATAATACGCCCTTGAAATGTACAAAGTTAAAATGTTCTCATTTTGCAATTTTATCTTTTAGATTGTGCAAAGTTTTCATTTAAATATAGATATATTTTTTATTTAAATATTGCTACACATGTAGAAAAAAGTATAGGGCCTCAAAATGATTTGTCGCTTAGGACTTTCAAATTCTTAAGGTCGGCCCTGTGCATTACCATAACGAGGCTGATCAGCGCATCTAACGAAGAAATAAACACAAAAAAGAAAGAGGTGTTCATTGAAAAACACAAACGCACATGCTACATCCTATGTCGCTTTTCCTTGGACACGTGACATCATCAACCAATTTGTAACTTTGATCCGGATCTTCGTTCAATTCTTTAGTACACAAGTCGTCAACTTCAAATTTCTAGTATGAGGATCTCTCTAATGCCACATGTACAATATTAATTAAGTGACTAAATGTGCAATTTATGGTCTCTAATTCAAAAGTAAAATCAAGAGGGTTTTTCTTTCTTGGAAAAGTGGACAGAATACATACACGCAAAAGAATAGAGATACACACGGCAAATAGGCAACCAGAGAGAGAGAAATGGTTGTCTGTTTCAAAGACTACTATAACTATAAAATTAGAAGCCAAAAGACTTTACGCCCTTATGCTCTAATCCATTCCTTCACGCTATTGCTATGGCTTAGGAAGTTTCCACTTGCTTTCCCATACAACAGAAAAAGGGCTTTCCATCATTAATTGTTTTGTGAAGTTTCTTATTAGTTTAATACTTTCAGTTTCCATCTACCTGTTCGGTAGTGATTATGATAATTAATTTTTGATCGTTAGTGAGAAACTTGGATCCCACCTGTAAGTGAAGAAGTAAAAATGGCAGCTGAAATAGTGAAATAATGGTCAAAAAATTGAATTTTTGGGATGAGGAATTGCTATCAAACGAGAGCCCATTGTTGTTAGATGATGAAAATATTGGTTGACGAGATTCTGTTCTGATTTGGTGTGTTGGATTATATCTTGATTTCGGGCAAGTCTTGAAAAATAAAAATAAAAAAAAAGTTCTATGACATTAATACAAGTATTTTTAATTGCTCGCATTGTGCACATTGGTATTGGATACTTTGTTACGCTATTGGTATAGTGGATTCGTGTACATTGCTATTTGTAGGTGTATTTATTTTTCTCTACATTATAAGTAGAAAAAATCACTTATTTAAGATTAACTTACTTTCAATTTTAACAAACATAAAAGATGTTTCTTGCCATAAAACTTGTGCACTAACAACTAAACCTACTCATATTTGAACTTTTTAAGTTAGCCACACTTGCTGTGAAGATTGAGCTCCTTGGTGTCATGTATTTCCAGTTTTCCACACAACAATCAATAACCTCAAGGGTGAAAATAAATCCAGCAAAATGTAGGCAAATTTATTAATATATCTGTATATATGAACATTTTTGGGACGTCTTCCTCAAATACAACATAAAGAATAAATCGAATGAAAAAATACGTATATATTTCTCGTATTTACTGCTTCCCTAGTTCTCAAAAAAATTATCAAGAGGACTACAAACAGGAGGAAGAACCGAATGAAGCTGTTTAGCATACGTTACTGCGAGGTATTATAAGATACAGCCTGACTGAAGCGAGCTGTAAACGTAAAAGTGGATACGCAAAATCCAAGCACTGCCCTATGACCAAATCCGTGCACCTTTAACAATCTTGCTTGGCAGTCTGTCCACTTCCATATTTTCATTCGAAGGACTTAATTCAATGAAAATCAATGCCATGAGAAGTTATATGGAAGAAAATGCTCTTGTGGAACTATTGCACATGCATTCTGGGATGGGATACTTTGTCACGTCTCGTCCTGCTTTGCTATTTCTGAGTTCTGGCTGTCCTATGGAATCTTGGTGCAAGTCGAGGATAATCCTGTTGAACTCTGCTTCAGGGAGAGAAGAATTCAGAAAGTATGGGAGCATTTGCCTTTTGTTTGGAGTGATGGTCTTTTTGTGGCCTGCATAAGCCCTGTGCCCCTGTTTCACATATAAACAGCCATCAATAAGACTTCACTAAACAAATCGTAGTGTATTATCTTGTTTGTTATATTGCCCACCTAATTTAGTACTTCATACCCATTTATATTCATCATTTCTAAAAGTGATAACAATCGATAAGAAGTGGTCTTTGAAAGCTACGGTACCTGGATGGCATGACCCATATTTCCACCATGCGATGCTAAGAATACATCGCTGTTCTCAGAAACTATATAATCAATAGCAGCCATTAATGAAGCTTTCTTCTGAAATGGTTTAAGCTCTTCCGGCAAGGCGAGGTCTTCCTTGTTGTACAAATACGGAAATACTCTTTTTAATGGTAGCAAGGCTTCTTTTCCACCCAAAGGAATTCCTCCAGCCCAATATATTCTTGTATCTTTTGGAGCCCCCAAAGCTTTGAGAAGCCTAAACACGGAGTAAAATCATCACTTAGCAGGTATTCAAGTTGTCGTATTTTAGAACATGGGAGTCAGTCATAAAAAAGGATGCTTCACAGATGTTTCAAGCAAATTTGACGCTAGAAAATAGCCAAAGTAAGTATTTTTTGAGAAAGATATCAAAGAAGACATGTCTAGTTACTTCATCAACATATTCTAGTAGCATATTTGTGCTCGAGACTTGTATTAGGAATGAAGAGTCGTGTCCGTTTTCAATTGTAATACATGTATCCCATGGTAACCATAGGTGCGATATAACTATTTTGCAACTCCAAACATACCGTGTGACATCCAAGGCATTTAAGGGACAGAGGCCAGCAAGTTTCCTTTCATGATAGGTCATGTTGGATCTTGAAGTCAATAGCTCTGGTCGCCTCCTCCTCTCATCATTTATTATCTTGTCATATTTGGGGGTTAGACCCGGAAGACATCCTGTTCTCACCCATACATCCTTCTCCATTCGCAGATGGAGTGCAAGATAGGGTCCCTCAGTTCTCATTCTCTCTGTAAGCTTATTACCAAATTCCAAGATATGTGGGGCAAATCTCAATGCATGAAAAGCAACCTGCAAGTTCAAATATGATCCATGCTTAGACAGTAAATTCGATGCACCTACCTCTACTAGAAGAAGGTAGAAACAAAATGCTCAAGCTTTAAGAAGTCTACTGAACTGCAAAGATTGGGCCAAGGTATTAGTGCAGGAAGTTCAGTTCTTTTCTCAGCATTAGTATGATTGACGAAAAATGCAAAGGTACTAAAACTTAATTGTATAAAGGTAAGGACAATAGCTACCTTGCACCGAAGCTTTTGAAGATCGGAAGGAAGATCCTTAGAAAGCCTTGAATCGAGACCGCGTAAAAGTAACACTCCATCCCTCCTAAGCTGCAGGAAAAGAACAAAACTGAAACAATTAGAATTTCAATGTAAAAAATTTCGCACTATATTTTATCATTTCATGACCAAATCAATATGATTTAAACATCAGAAATTACAGCCGGCCAGTGGAGTAGTTTAAGTTATTTCTTATTTTTCATAAATTTAAGAATCGGTCAAATTGGGCAGTCATGCGTCAAATGATGGTCAAAGATTCACTTTGGAATCTATTGATCTGCAGGCCATTGATAGAGCACTAAACTAAGCTACCACCAAAGCATACTATTTGTTTCAGATATTTTCTACTTCTCATATTAGTGATATCAACAACAATCTTCTTAGTCACAAATACATAAGCCAGTTAAGTAACTCGAAATAACTTTTCTTACCCGCTTAAGATAGCGCAAGCGAATCCACTCGGGAGAAGCATGAAGTGGAGTTCTTTTCTCCTCGACCGGCCTTGTCATCAAATGCGTAGAAGGAAGCGATGAAACTATTCGAACATCATTTGCCAAAACATTCTTGAAATGTTCCAAATCAAATATATCAGAAAATTCACTGCAAAATCACAAGAGAAACAGAACTTAGTGATTTAACCACAAAGAGACAATCTATTATCATAAATGAAAGAAATTCAATCTACCTCAATAAGACAATTACATAATATACTCCAACAAATAGAATTTTAATCTATCAAATTGACAAGTGTTAAAATTTGAGGGGTACTGTTTTGACAAAGCATGATAAGAATATTTCATTGATTAAAGGGCACAAAGATGACTTTATTTCATAAAATGGGAGGTTCAATTAAAAGATTAATAATCACAGAACTTGTAAAACCAAGAAGTAAAATAAAGATTGGATAAAGAAATGACAAACCTTTCATCACCCCAGATTACATTAACTTGCAAGATGGGCACAACAAGAGCAGCCCCAAGAATTCTTGCAATCACAACAGCATCAACAATCTGATTTCTCTGTTGATTCATCCCTCCAGAAACCACCACCATCAAATATTTTGTCCTGTCCTTAACAATCTCACCACTTTCCTTTCTGTATCTATCACTGAAATCCAAACAGGGCCTATAACCCATCCCATCAGGCTGCTTCCAAAACTCACTTTTCTCATACTTACCACCAGATTTTTCATCATTTTTCTCAGTACTTACCTGAGTGCTCGAAAACCCACTAGAAATTTCATCCTTTTCTTGAGGAATAAGACATGGGTTTTGCGAGAAAGGCATTGTTGGATCAAAGTTGAACCACATCTTCAACATCCAAAGAAACCCAAATACAAAAATAAAGAAAATCCAAAATCTTGGATTCTCGAATAAAACCCGTAGCTTTGAGACGCCACCGTGCTTCTTCAGGGGAGGCTGTAATAAAGATTCAAGTGAAGATTGTGAGATTGAGTTGATTATCTGTGAAGGCACTGAAATGTAACTCTGATGCTTCTTCCTGTTGTTGCCCTTTGCCACAGCCATTTCACACATTCGAACACGCACAAGAAAATACACACACACACTGAGTCTGAGAGACCTCTTTATTGGGGGAATAATCAAATGGTACAGTACTTCTAATATTAGTTGAGTGATTTTCTTTGATCTTTCTCGGATATATTTTAGACACGGAAGGGGGAGGAGAGAGAAAGTGCAGGCGGCGGGAACGCGTAGACCAAACGATGCGCGTTTGGTATTTGTTGGCACATGGTGTTGTTAGAGTTAGACTCAGAGTCGGAGGTTTCTAGATTTTCTCTCTCTATATTTCAATATTCTTCCTTTTGTTTACATTGCATATAATGTGTGTATCCATATTTATAGTGACCGTGAGGGAAAGTATTTGAATTCTGATAGAGACGTTGGACAAAAACAACTGGCTCTCTTGATTCGAGATCTTTATTAAATTTTAATCAACATTGATTAAATGTAGAAAAAATTGCAGAGCGACGATTTCTAACCTTTTACTTTTTTTTATTTGTAGAATTTATCCTAACATTTACAGCCCATTTGGCCACACTCTTATCAAATTTTAATGGTTGAAATAGTATTTTTTGAAAAATATGTGATTGAAAAAGAATGAAAAGTTTTTTATTTACATATAATATTATTTTATGCAAGATTGTGTAGTTGAAAATAAGAAAAAAAAAATGGATGACTATGGGTGTGGTTTGACCGTTAGTTGACCAAAAGTCAAAGGATTTTTTATTTTATTTTTTAATAACTGAAAACTTAAAACTATTTTGTTTCTTTTTGAATGTTTTCAGTTAAAAAACTCAAAACGTGGAAAATGCTCAAAACACACTGTTTTTCAATTTATTTATTTATTAGGGATGCTTATTAGTATTTTTAAAATAGTAAATTCATAAAGTTTAAAATATATATTATCTAGTAAATATATCAGTATAAAATTATTTTGTTTTACTAAATAATCAAATTAATTGAATAAATGTCGTAAAACAATTTCTATATATTTATTATTTTATTTTTGTAGCAAGAAAAAATAATAAATTCACCAAATTTAAAATATATATTATCTGGTAATATATTAACATAAAATTATTATGTTTTACTAAATAATCAAATTAATTGAATAAATGTCATAAAACAATTTCTAAAATAGTCCTACAAAATGAAAAATCAAACACGTTTTTCAAAATGACAAACCAAACACGTTTTCTGTAATTCAAAAATAGTCCTACAAAATAGAAAGCGTTTTCTGTTTTCAAAAATGTAAATAGAAAACGGAAACGCAAATCAAATGCAGCCTAAGTTTTTAACTACTTCGGATTCATGTCTGTATCTTCTAGATTTATGTCTTATTTTAATTGTCAATCTTTTCTACGTAATCAAAATCATAAACTTCCATCTGGGTTTTTTATTATTCAGATTCGATGTGCCAAATCAGAAATTTGGCTCTCTTTTTTCTTTTCTTTTTTTTATTTTTTTAAATATTACATTCTGCCGGAGAGGCTATGATACCCAGCTTGCATGTCACGCAGTGAACTACACAGCCTTTATTTTACTTTGAAACAAACTTTTATTCTTGTTTGACTGTAACCCTCCATTATATCTAGTAAGGTAAAAATCAGAATATACAAATAGGAGTTGCATTTAAGAGAAATGCTACAAAAGCAAGGTTAAAAATAGGATTACAAACAAAGGGTATCCGTGTTGAAACGTGAATGGATAGTTTTTTTTTTTTTTTAACCAATTATTGCCAACTCAGTCTGTGACATGTCCATACTTTCCCTATTTCGAACCTTGTTCAACCATCATTTCCCTGCATTTAATGCTTCATGTTTGTTTTGATCATAGTTATTTATATGGGAACACAAATTTAACATAGAGTTGGTTTAACATAAATGAGCACAGCGCAAGAAAAACAATGACTAAACCCTATTTTACTTCAATACAAAAGGTAAGATATATCGGTACATTATGAAATAATTTCTTTCAAAAAATGACTTGAGACAATTCAAACCATCTCACCTATATAGGTAGGACGTAACAAATGCTCGAGACATCTCTAATACAAACTTTTCTTCAAACGTCTTAGGACAAATCATAATTTCTTGGTCTCTTGTACATTTTGAAAAATGAAACCACTTAAATACAAAAGTGTGGTTACCAAAGAAGTTCTTGACATTTTCTTGACAAAAGAGAATGTAGAGAGTAATTATCTGAGATATGGGGTCCGACTATGGCTTAAATTAGAAGGAGAGGGGGTCAGTTCGTAGATATTCCATAGTCCTTGCACTGTAATTAATGATCCACGTATTTGTAAGTTACATCATTTCCGGATCGATGAGTGTAATTTGACAATGTTTAAAGATTGGTGACCAAATGGTACTCTCAACCATTAGAAAATTATCTATAACTTTGACCCACGATATCAAAGAATCCTTGCTCCATTTCCAAAGAGAGTCATGCTATAACCACGAACATGATGTAAGAGCAAAGTAGAGTGCATGGTTGATAATGCACCTAAGAACTTAAGCAATAAATGTACTAGCTAAGTACTCGATGGGCTACACAAGTGTACAAGTCTTCAAATGGCTTACACAACACAATACAAGTCCTTTCCAATATATTTTTTTTAATTTTTATTTTTTATAAGAAGCAGCATCAAAATACAAGTCCTTTCCAGTATATATTTTTTAAAAATTTTCAACTTTATATTTGTGATCATTGTATTTTGTCCATCATGACACCAAGTCGTGAAGCAAGCAACTAGCCATTGTTGGTATATAAAATGAAAATAGAAGATTTGATTTATTTGCTTTATTGATTATAGTGCAATTTTTTTACGGGCAATCTAGATATGAAAAGATTTAAATCTCTTTTTCTAAAGAAAGCCATTATTCATATGCCAAGTATTAAAATCGTTTGTGTAAGTTTATTTAACTAATCAAATTGTTTGTTGATCGAACTGTCATCAATTAATTATAGTGTTTTGGGTCATTAAGGGTCTGCTTGATTTATGTTTCGATTTTCGGTTTCGCATGTTGAGTTCAATCTCTATTTTCTGTTTTGAGGTCTATTTTAAAAATCATTTCTTAATTCATAGGACCCACACCCACTACAAGTTATTAATTTGAGTCCAAAATCATCAATTTTAATCGTCCAAACGTTTGTATAGAGAGGAAGTGAAGAGGAAAGAAAGAGGATGAATATTCAAATAATGATTTACAAATATAAAATAAAAATTCAAACCCCTATCACAAAATTTACATTGTTAACTTCAAAATTTCTATATAATAGAAGAATAGATAAAAAGAGATTGGAGAAAAAGGATTTAATTGGATTGGATTGGATAATAGATGTTTTAAATAGTAGTTTTTTGGATGATGTGTGATTAAAAAGTAGAAAAAAGTTTTAAATTTATGTACAAAATATTTTATTGTGTGAATATGTGGTTGAAAATGAATATGAGAAATAAAGTTTTTTAATTTAAAAAGAGTCAAACATGGACTTATTAAGAGCTTGAATTTTAAAAAATAAAAATTTCAAGAAGACAAAATCTAAAATTATGCAAAACTAAAAAAATTCTAAAATTTCTTGAATTATAAAAATTATTCTAGCTCTTAATGATTATTTATATAAACATTTTAAAACAATATTTAAATGAACACACATAAAAATATGATCAGTCCATGTCATTAATTTTAATTTTAATTTTTTATATTTTGAATTCAATTTATTATTTATTTTTATTTTACATTGTAGCAAGAAAAAAAAATATTGTGAGATTCACCAACTTTAAAATGTATATATATTACTTGATAATGTATTAACAAAAAATCATTTTATTTTATTGAATAATCAATAATTTAATTTTATGTGATAAATTTTCATAAAATCATTTTTCTAAATTTTCAAGCAAAAATGTTTTGAGAAATAATTTTTTTTTTTTTAATGACAAATCAAACGCATGTTTAGCAATGTTAATATAGACACAACCAAAAAAAAAAAAAAAAAAAATTGAAAATGAACTCAAAACTCAAAATTGAAATACAAACCAAACTAACCATAAATTTTTAAAGAACGAGGATCGAGTACAAGCTATATTGAATAATTAATAATGTAAGCCACTAAGCCTAGTGTTAGAGTATCACCACATGTGACCAAAGTTGGTGAATTAGCCGAGAAAAGAGGACCAGATTCTGCATCAGAATTATGCACATCAGCTCCTACCTGTACTACCAAGAAAAGAGGTTCAGATTAGGATAAGATTTTAGTGCATAATTATCTCAACTTTCTTTTGAATTAGAGTGGAATATTGTAACAATATATGCTAGTCAGTCTCCTAAGGTAACTCAGTTCAGTTGGTGTAAATGTCTATATAAACTTATTCAATGCATACGTTTGGGATTAAGCCAAACAATTCAAAGTCTTTGTGCTTCTTCATTAAAGCAAGATGGTAGCATTGAACGATATAAAGCAAGACTCGTAGCAAAGGGATTTGATAAACGCAGTGGTGTAGACTATTTTGATACATTCTCACCGGTTGTAAAACCTACAACAATTCGGTTGGTTTTGGCCTTGGTTGTGAATTGCAGGTGGAACATTCGTCAATTAGATGTGTCTAATGCCTTCTTACATGGGGAGTTGGATGAAGAGGTGTATATGAAACAGCCACAGGGTTTTGTGGATGAAAATAATCCAGATATGGTCTGTCGATTACACAAGTCTCTCTATGGACTTAAGCAAGCACCGAGAGCATGGTTTAAAAGGCTTTCCCAGCAACTTGTTGATATTGGTTTTCACTGAATCAAGGTTGATTACTCATTATTTATACACTGTAATGATGACATTAAGTTGTTTATATTGGTCTATGTAGATGATGTACTCATCATGGGTTCAGATCAAGCTGCTGTAAATCATGCAATTAATCAACTCAGACAGAGTTTCCAACTCAAAGATTTAGGTGAGCTCAGTTATTTTCTTGGTGTTCAGGTCGCTAGGGACAAGACATGTCTCCATTTAAGGCAAGCAAAGTACATTTCTGACCTATTGGAAAGCACGAAGATGGTTGGAGCAAAGCCCCTTACATCTCCTACTACTTCAGGGACGAAGCTGTCCTCAACACAAGGCCTACTGCTTATTGATCCAATAGAGTATAGGCGTGTTGTAGGAGCTCTTCAATACTGCACTATTTCAAGACCCGACATATCTTATGCTGTTAATTAGTTATGCTAGTTTGTGCACAGTCCAAGAGAACCTCACTGGATGGCTATCAAACGGGTTCTTAGATATCTGAAAGGAACCATTG